TGTAGCCACATTTCTTACCCATCCATTTGAGAACAATGAGAATCTGTGGAAAATCTTTCCCACTTCCTTTTCATCCAAACAAACAATTCTGATGATGAAAAGTAAAAAGAATTTTAACGGATCTGGGGAAAAAATTTATGGACATTTACTTTTCTTGGAAACAAACAGATTTAATAAAATTCAATGTACTTTCTTATGTTTTGCAGGAATCTTCATCCCTTAGAAACATACCAGTAGTGATTATGTCATCTGAAAATGTTCCTTCAAGGATCAATAGGNATTTTTTTTTTTATGAATAAATTATAATGATATTTTCTTGAATTTTTGGTTATATATAAAAATGATAATATAAATCGGGAAAAAAAATATCATGAAAAGAAATGATGATTGCTATTAAAGGATCGAAGACAATTATCGGAATCTTTGGTGAAAATTGTCAACCAAATCACCATTTTATTGTTACTTGATTGAGTTCAAACTTTAAATATAAATAAAAAACATTGCCAAACATGAAATTCAAAACTTATTTTTGGTTGAGATTAGCTTAAAAGTGATTTATATTAAGGTATATAGAACTAAGAGAATGTTAATATTATTTTTGAATATTAGGGGTGTTTGTATAAGTTTGTCAAAATTAAGAATGTCGATATAATTTATCAATCTTTTGATTTTGCGCTTTTTAAACTGACTACTTATTTTTTCTATTTTTTTAATAGATTATTTGCCATTAATGAATAGAAACCCACTTAGACATAATATGTCTCACTTAATTTCACATTAAGTAATACATCGAAGAAAAAAAATATATATATTGGGGTAATTCTCAATCCGATCATAGAGTCAGCATTATTTTTCGGGGGGTGGGAAATGATCTTGAGATCTTAATTAATTGTTGCGAGTTTTTTGTTTTTTGCTAGGCTCGTGATCTTTAAAATATTGACTTAAAATAAAACGAGGAATTATTTTTACAGCTTTAACAATTTCGGATATATAATGGGTGATTTACCTTAAATGATATTGAAAAAGAACATATTGAAAATATATTTGCTTCAATATAAATGCATGTTTATTTTTATATAGAGTGAATATATGAATGGGATGTGTACATTAGCATGTCACAAGAAGGATGGGGCACACAATAAATGGCCATGGGAAGCAAATCTTAAAAGAGAATCAAAAGAAATTGCCCTCTCTTTGCACCACTCCCCACCTGCTCAAGATATGGGAAGAGCACATGATTTCACACAGGGAAAAGGCAGCACTGCTGACGTCATCTGTATCTCTTGGGAGGATTTTGGTAGGTCCCATTCCCCCACCCCCTTCCTTTTCTCAAGTCTCACCCATGACCTTTTGCTTTCAATCCCCAAACTTTCTCATATATATTTTCTCTCTATGCATATGAAAAGCCAACCTCAAGAATCAATACAATACAATAACCTCCAAGTTCTAAACTTGTAGTATTCTTTTGTGTTCATTCTTTATTTTTCTTCCTTTGCATTGCTTGCCTTCTAATTCAAATCAGGTTGGAAAATTTGGGCATATCTTTGGTTGAAATCTGGTGAGATCTTGCATTGTGTGTTGTGGATTTGGTGGGTCTATTTCAATACAAAGCTCTTCTCTTCCCAAACCATAGAAAAACAAAGACCTAACAGAGCCCACCAAGCAAGAAAAAGAGAAAACCTCTCCTTTCTTCTTTGTTCTTCATATTCTTCTCCTAGTTGGCTTCATCTGCAATCTTGAATTGGTGAAATGGTTATGGCCAGTGATTCACAGTTTCATGTTCTAGCTGTTGATGATAGTATCATAGACAGAAAACTTATTGAGAGACTTCTCAAGACCTCATCATTCCAAGGTACTTTCTTGGTTATATTGACCAAATTCTCAGTTGTTCTGCTTTTGGTTCTAATGATTTTATTGTTGATTAGATTTATTCTGATTGCTCATTGGTTTTTTGGGTGTTGTCTATTGTTCGTGGCAGTTACTGCTGTTGATTCTGGTAGTAAGGCTTTAGAATTTCTGGGTTTCAATGAAGATCAACAAAGGAACACAGATCAACGTTCTGTATCTCCAAACAATCACCATGTAATTTTTCCACCATTTCTTTTTAATATTCAATTTCTCAGAGTTTTCTATTTCCTGGGAATTTCCAGTGACCTCTACTTTTCTGGTTTTCTGAAAATTTTCTTTGATTTTCCAGGAAGTGGAAGTAAATTTGATTATTACAGACTACTGCATGCCTGGAATGACAGGCTATGATTTGCTCAAGAAAATAAAGGTATGATTGGTTGGTTTTTATTCTATTTGCTGTTTTCCTGTCATATTCTGCACATCAACTCAAAATTTTCTCAGCTACAACATTTTCCTTTCGTGGAAAATATGCCCATGACCAAACTTTCCTAACCAAACTGTAGCCACATTTCTTACCCATCCATTTGAGAACAATGAGAATCTGTGGAAAATCTTTCCCACTTCCTTTTCATCCAAACAAACAATTCTGATGATGAAAAGTAAAAAGAATTTTAACGGATCTGGGGAANTTTTCATCCAAACAAACAATTCTGATGATGAAAAGTAAAAAGAATTTTAACGGATCTGGGGAACAAATTTATGGACATCTACTTTTCTTGGAAACAAACAGATTTAATAAAATTCAATGTACTTTCTTATGTTTTGCAGGAATCTTCATCCCTTAAAAACATACCAGTAGTGATTATGTCATCTGAAAATGTTCCTTCAAGGATCAATAGGTAAGAACAAATCCAATTCAAACCAGCCATCATATAAAAAGGTGATTGGATTTTATTTACTGGAAACAGTAGAAATGTTGGAAATTGATTGGTGGATATTGTTAAATCTTATCTGCAGATGTTTAGAAGAAGGAGCAGAAGAATTTTTTCTCAAACCAGTGAGACTATCAGATGTCAATAAGCTTAAACCCCATATGATGAAAGCCAAATTCAAAGATCATGAAAAGCCAGCAAAACAAGAAGAAGAAGCATCAGAAACACCAGAGGTACAGCAATCACAACCACCACAACCTCAAAGTAATAATAACAAGAGGAAGGCCATGGATGAAGGGCTTTCATCAGATAGAACAAGACCCAGATACAGTGGCCTCACTGTGGTCTCTAATTGATCATGACAAGTACTTTTTTCTGTTCCTTTTTGCCCAATCTGAAAAATGAAATTCACATAACCCTTGTAGAGAGAGAGAGAGAGAGAGAGAGAGAGAGA